CGGGACGGGCCACGGCTGGCGGGGCGGCGCGCGCTCTGCGGGACCTGGCCGCTGGCGCCCCCGTGCGGCCGGCGCGTGCGCCCGGCGACAGGTGGAATGACCCTTTCCTCCCCAGAGCTGGGTCCTGCAGCCCCAGCCGACCACCCTGTCCGCCCGTCCCTCCCTCCCCCCTTGCAGCTACTACCTGAAGGAATCCAAGGGCAGTCGGCGGTGGCTCCTTTTTCTGGAAGGTGCGTCCCGGGAGCCCAGGCGGCGAGGCGGGCGGAGGCCCCTGGGTGCTCGGCCCTGACGTCGTGGCTGTGCTCGCAGGTGGCTGGTACTGCTTCAACCGGGAGAACTGCGACTCCCGCTATGACACCATGCGGCGGCTCATGAGCTCCAGAGACTGGCCGCGCACCCGCACAGGTCAGCAAGTCGCAAGCCTCGGACTGCCCGGGGCTGCCGCCTGCGGGCTGGGCAGGGCAGGGTGGGGCTCCCAGTTCCAAGTTCTGGAAGAACTCCTGTCCCCTCGCTTTCTAGAGCCCTGGGGAGGCCCCCACCCCGCCCACCCCCCAGTTCTCTAGCCCTCCTAAGGTCAGGGGCTCCCACCTGTCATCTCTCATTCTCATCCCACAGGTAATCTCCGGGGGGGAGGGGGGGCTTACCATGGCTGCTCTGTCCACCACTCATTCCTAGGCCAAAGCAGCCGGTGGAGGGTGGGAGAGGTCCAGGGTCACATCCAAGTGACTGGCCTGGCCCACCTGCCTTGTGGCCAAGTAGGCTTGCCCACATCCTACGCCTTCCTGTAGTCCCGGTTGCCGCACGCCCCTTCCCACCAGAAAGACCACTGCCTCTGTCCTCCCCCACTGCAGGTACAGGGATCCTGTCCTCCCAGCCGGAGGAAAACCCCCACTGGTGGAATGCCAACATGGTGTAAGAGGGAGCAGAGGGGTGCTTCCTGGGGGGGGGGTCCCATCTGTGAGGGAGTTCTTTCCTGAGGAGTCCCATGGGGGGTGGTCCTCCTTGGGGAGGGCCCTTATGGCGGGGGGGGAGTCCTTCCTGGGCGGTCCTGTCCTTGGGAGGATCTTGTTCTCAGAGGGGTCCTTCCTAGGGGGTCCTGTCCTCAGGATCCTTCCTGGGGAGGGGGTCCTTCCTGAGGGCCTTGGGCAGCGGAGGAGTATGGTGGCAAGCTCACCCTGTCCTTGTGTCACAGCTTCATCCCCTACTGCTCCAGCGATGTCTGGAGTGGGGCTTCATCCAAGTCTGAGAAGAGTGAGTCCCTTGTCTTCTTTTCTATTCCCTGCCCCCGAAAGACAAGGCAGGGCGGCCAGTCTAGTAACTCCATCTGATCCCCTGGCAGTGTGTCCCAGGATGCCTGCCCCAAGCACCCACTGCCGGTTGTCCACGGCTGGCTTGGTCCCTGCAGGGGTCCGCACTCCTGGATGTTCCCTGGGGAGGGGCCCTCAGCATAGCCTCGGCACCTGTCCACCTCCCTCCAGTTCACCCCAGCCCCGGCCCCATCCCCTGGAAGAGCGTCCAGGCCCCCAGCTAGAGCTGCTCCTTCCAACCTGGAGGCAGGGCGCCTTGCTCTCTGTCCAGGCCCCCGCTTGAAGCCACCCTCCTCCCCCATGCAGATGAGTATGCCTTCATGGGCGCGCTCATCATCCAGGAGGTGGTCCGAGAGCTCCTGGGCAAAGGGCTGAGCGGGGCCAAGGTGCTGCTGCTGGCTGGGAGCAGGTGAGCCAGGCAGGGCGGGGCGCGAGCACGCAGGCGGGAGTGGGGATGGGAGGGCAAGGAGGGGCAGAGCCTGGGACTCTGGAGGGCTCCCGCCGCACCAAGCCTGGGCAGGCAGCCGCAGCGGGAGGGTGGCTGGATGCCAGGGAAGGGGCTACAGTGACCTAGGTAGTCGGTGAGGGGTTAGCTGTGGACAAGGGCGCCTTCTCCAAGGGCCGGGGTCCCTGTGAGTGGGATCATCCCTAGGCCAAAGCAGCCGGTGGAGGGTGGGAGAGGTCCAGGGTCACATCCTCTGGGAGTGCAGGGGGCCCAGAGGACATCTATAGACTAGATGACGGGGCCTGAGGCCACGTATGTCACCTTCGTTTGCAGATAAGGAAACTGAATCAGAGAGTGAGAGAGAAGGGAAAGAGGAGTGGGAGGAAGCGGGATGGCCGGCCACTTGGCTCATTGCCTTGGGGTCAGTGCCTCCGAGCCCCCAAAAGGCCTGTGGGTCTCGCACATGACGTGGAGCCCGATGGCAGTGCAGAGTGCATCAGGATCCCTGCCTGTCCCGGGGGCTGGGCTGGGGGCAGGCGGGCTCTGGGGCCGCACCCGGCCTCACGTGCTGCCTTCTCCGCAGCGCGGGGGGCACAGGGGTGCTGCTGAACGTGGACCGCGTGGCCGAGCAGCTGGAGGAGCTGGGCTACCCGGCCATCCAGGTGCGGGGCCTGGCGGACTCGGGCTGGTTCCTGGACAACAAGCAGTATCGTCACACAGACTGCATCAGCACAGTCACCTGTGCGCCCACGGAGGCCATACGCCGCGGCATCAGGTGCCAGACGCTGGGATGCTGGCTGGGCCCACCAGCTCCTGTGCAGAGTGCCGGGGGGGCCGGGGGCCGCCTGACCCACGGCATGTACCCAGGTACTGGAACGGGGTGGTCCCGGAGCGCTGTCGGCACCAGTTCAAGGATGGAGAGGAGTGGAACTGCTTCTTTGGCTACAAAGTCTACCCGACACTGCGCTGTGAGGGGCCCACGGGCCAGGGCGGGGGGCGGGGGGCAGGGAGCGTCAGTCTCGGCTTCCTCCAGCCTGGAGTCTAGAGGTCGGTCTGGAGACCCCTGCCCGCCCACATGGGAGCGGGGTGCCTGAGCCATCGGGTCTGCCTGGGACCTTCCTGGTCTCAGCGCTGGAAGTCCACTTGGTCCCAGGCAAACGAGGACAGTTGGTCACCCCGTCCACATTCACAGTGAGGAATGTGCTTGGCAGCCGAGTCCCAGTGCTGCCCTTGGTGGGGCCTTGGCTGTCCCTCCTCCTCTCCACCGTCGAAGGGGCAGCGTCACCAAGCTTTGGTCAAAGCGGAGTCCCTGGGGGCCAGGCTGGGGGAGGGGCGGGGGTGGGTGCCGAGGGTCTTCCTCAAGCAAGGGTGCTGCGGGGGGCTGGTGGCCAGCACTCTGGGGGGAGCCCAGCTGGTCTGTGAGCCTACGAAGGCCCTTAGCCTGGGCTGGGGGGCCGAGTGCCGAGGCAAGGCCCAGCTGAGCTCTGCCCCCCAGGCCCAGTGTTTGTGGTGCAGTGGTTGTTCGACGAGGCCCAGCTGACTGTGGACAACGTGCACCTCACGGGGCAGACTGTGCAGGAGGGTCAGTGGCTGTACATCCAGAACCTAGGCCGCGAGCTGCGGGACTCGCTCAAGGATGTGCCGTGAGTGAACCGAGGGCCACCGACTCAGCCCTCCAGACGTGCGGCAAACCCTCGGGCTTATGGGCGGGATGGGGCGGCTGGGTGATGGACACTGGGGAGGGTGTGTGCTCTGGTGAGCGCTGTGAATTCAGAGGTACAGACCTGTGCCTCTGAAACAAATAACCCGTTGTATGTTAAAGAAAAAAGAAAAAAAAGAAGGTAGCAGGAGGGGAAGAATGAAGGGGGGGAATCGGAGGGGGAGACGAACCATGAGAGACTGTGGACTCTGAGAAACAAACGGAGGGTTCTAGAGGGGAGGGGGTTGGGGGATGGGTCAGCCTGGTGATGGGTATTAAAGAGGGCACGTTCTGCATGGAGCACTGGCGGTTATACGCAAACAATGAATCATGGAACGCTACATCTAAAACTAATGATGTGATGTACGGTGATTAACATAATCAAAAAAATGAAAATTAAAAAAAAAATCCTCGGGCTTAAAGATAGGGGTCTCACAGACGGCAGAACAAGAAGCAGCCATCCAGCCGTCCAGACAAGGGGTGTTAGCACTAGAAAGAAGGGAGCTTTCAGACCACGGAAAGACGTGGAGGAAACGTAGATGCGTATTACCAGGAGAAAGGAGCCAATCTGGAAAAGGCTACATGGCCTATGATTCCAACCCCGTGACATTCGGGGGAAACGGCAGAACTGTGAGGCAGTAAGAAGATCAATTGGTACCAAGGATAGAACTGGAAAGGGGGGAGGGTGAACAGAGCGCAGAGGAATTTTAGGACAGTGAAACTGCTCTGTGTGAGACACGAGGGTGGACGAGTGTCATTATACATTTGTGCAATCCCGTAGAACACACAGCAGTGAGCGCGAGCCCTCACGTACGCCCTGGGCTCTGGGTGATGATCCTGGGTCCGTGTGGGCTCCTCAGTGTGACAGACACACCATCTGGTGGGACGCTGATTGCAGGGAAGGCTGTGCGAGTCGGGGCGGGCGTGCACCGGAAATCTCTGTACCGCCCACGCCATTTTGATGTGAACCTAAAACTGCTCTAGAAATAAAGCCTATTGCACAGAAAAAAGCACACGTCCGGGTCAGCCTCCCACCGCGGCCCAGCGGGAAGGGATGCGCTCGGAGCAGGGTTTGGAGGCGGGGGGAGACGTGGGTTAGTCGGGAGCATGTGGGCAGGTGGGGAGAGGCCTGGTCCCGAGGAGCAGCTCGCCAGGCACGGCTGCACAAGGGAGGCGGGAGCCGGGGAGAGGACAGGTCCCCAGGGGAGAGGGCACCAGGCTGGGGCAGGGAAGAGGCCCAGGTGGTCGCTATAAGCCGCTGTCTCCTCCCCAATAGGGCCAGTTTCGCCCCCGCCTGCCTCTCTCACGAGATCATCATCCGAAGGTCAGTGTCCGCAGGCCCTGGAGAGATGGTGTCCCCGGCTCTCGCTCTGAACACCCAGCCCCGCCCCATCCACTGGCCACCTGCCTTCCCTGCTCCGTGGAAGGGCTTCCTAGGGCTGTCAGCGCCACGTCCACAACCAGCTGTGTGGCCAGAATTCAGACCCAACCCACCTCCCGCGGTAGCCTGCTTTGGCCACACCGACTGACCCCCGCCTGGATTTCTGTCTGTAGCCACTGGACAGACGTCCAGGTGAAGGGGACCTCACTGCCCCGGGCGCTGCACTGCTGGGACAGAAGCCTGCACGACAGCCACAAGGCCAGCAAAGCCCCCCTGAAGGGCTGCCCCGTCCACCTGGTGGACAGCTGCCCTTGGCCTCACTGCAACCCCTCCTGCCCCACCATCCGGGACCAGTTCACGGGGCAGGAGATGAACGTGGCCCAGTTCCTCATGCACATGGGGTTTGACGTGCAGACCGCGGCGCAGCAGCAGGGCCTGGAGCCCAGTAAACTGCTGGGCATGCTCAGCAGTGGGAGCTAGGGCTCCCGGCCCTGGGGGCTGGCACTGGGGGCCAGCCACCTCCCCGGGCTCCCCTGCCCCTCCTAGGACACGCAGGGCCCCGGCTGTCCCCACGGCTGCCTTCACTGCTCCTCTACAACTGCCTTCGGGAGGCCCAGCCAGAGCCGGGAGTCCTGGGTCCTGCCGGGAGCCCTAGCCCCCCTCCTGCCCGCGCCGAGGAGCCCCCCGTGCGGGGTTCCGGCCCACCGGCCCCCCAGCCCAAGGGGCCCCCGGTCCAGCCCCAGCCTCAGCCTCAGCCTCTCCTGGCCTTTTGTATTATTTTATAAAGTGACTTTTTTTATTACTTTAATTTTTTTAAAAAGGAAAATAAGAAATATATGATTAATGATATTGTTTTGTAACATATTTTTTTTAAATAATGAAAAAAAAGACAACAAAAGAGCCTCACCCTGCAGGCGTGTTTATTTGAATGGATCGCGTGCCCACCGCACAGCCCCCAAGCCCACCCCCAGGGCAGCAGGGATCCTGGGGGGCAGCCACTGGACACACAGGTTCTGTTCAGGGCCCCACGCCCACCTGTGTCCCGTTCCAGACCCTTCCGTTCACACGCTCAGCAAGCACGGGGCGTGGGCGCGGCACAGGCCCTAACACAGTGGTCACATCCGACTCTGCCCCATCTGGGGACACGGCGCCTCGACCCCTGCACTGTCAGCCCTGTGTTGCCCCGGGAAACACTCCTAGCCAGAGAACATGTTCTTAAAAGTTTGCATCGCATCTGTTCTCACGAGTGCCCCCCGGGCACACGCGAAGATACAGATTCGGGGAGAAAACCTCCCCCGGCCCAGCCCTAGCTCTGCTTCCCAGAGCACAAGCGGTCCTGTTGCTGCGGGTGGTCCCGGGGGCCGGCATCCCAGCACACGTGTGCCCACACTCTGCTGCTGCCCCTGTGTCGGCAGCCCTCGGCGAGCTGCGGGTGGGCATGATGCTCCCCGCCGTGCCCCCCAGGACTGGGCTGCACGACATCACCGGGCGCCCGCGTCAAAGCCCCAGAGGCGGGACTGCTCCACCCTTTGGGCTTCCTGAGCACTCCCTGCTTCAGGCACCCCAGCGCGTGGCCCCGAGCGGCCCTCGAGCAGGTTTTATTAAAGCCCCTGGAGAGGCCATGTGACAGAGGGAGGATCCTTGTCAGGTCAGCCTGGGCTCCGCACCCAGCCTCCCGCCACAGATGGCAGGAGTTGGCAGACCTGTCCCCAGAATGGGGAGAATCTCAGAGACCCCACACCCTCACTCCCAGCAAGGTCAGGGGCCGTGCCCGGGGCGTCTGACCAGCTCTGCCCAGACATCGGGGCCACCGTGGGCCTGAGAGGGACCCGAGCAGAACCCGAGGGTGCTGGGGTCATCTGCTGAGGGGTTCCAGGGCCTCCTCCCGCCCCACCTTCAACCCACTGGGCACCCATGTTGGCTTCCCCAGGTGGCCCTGAGTGGCCCGCCTGTGGTCTCCTCCACGGGCCACTGCTCCATGGTCCCCTGTGGGAACCCATGCAGTTCCAATGGCCAAGGGCAACAGTGAGGTCAGGGATGGGGTGGCCAAAGGCTGGAGATGAAAGAAGGTGTATCCAGGAGTGACTGACTGCTGGCTTAGGGGGGCAGCCCCTTCCTGGGCCCCTGGACAGCCATGGATGGTGCGCCCCCAGTGGGAAAGGGGGCGAGGAGCGCCCCAAAGGGGAGCCTTCACAGGGAGGGGCCTGCCACGGTCGAGCTGGGGGGGGGACTCAGACGGTGCTGCCCTTTAACCAGCTCTGTGCAGAGAAGGGCGGTGGGCGCGACATCAGTGCGGGCAGGCAGACGTCTCGCTCCACCTGAGGCGGCCCGGAAGGGGTCAGCGGGCAGCTTCGCATGTCTCAGATGCGCTAGGCCCACTGAGCACCCTACCTGTGGCGTAGGCCTGATGGGACTCCTTCCACCAAAGGAATAAACCTTGCTCCACGTGTTCCCGACAAAATAAGAGAGAGGCGAGTGGTCAGTCCTTGCCACACTTTACTGCCGGGCCGGTGACAAAGCGAGCCCCGGGCACGCTAGGTCGTGCCTGCCGTGAAACCTGCAGTATTCGGCACGGCTTCCCATGTGACGTGGGCACTCTGAGTCCAGCTTTTCCGGAAACGTTGCTCTTTCCACTTCCCTTATCACGTGATTCCCGCAGGAGCAAAAATGCTCAGCACATGCTTTAAAAAGTGGGGGGCTGGGGCGCCTGGGTGGCTCAGTCGTTAAGCGTCTGCCTTCGGCTCAGGTCATGGTCCCAGGGCCCTGGGATCGAGCCCCACATCGGGCTTCCTGCTCAGTGGGGAGTCTGCTTCTTCCTCTCCCTCTGTCCCTCCCCCCACCACTTGTGCTCTTTTTCAAATAAGTAAATAAATAATCTTTAAAAAAAAAAAAAGCATCTGCCTTCGGCTCAGGTCATGGTCTCAGGGTCCCGGGATCGAGCCCCGCATCGGGCTCCCTGCTCCGCGGGAAGCCTGCTTCTCCCTCTGATCCTCCTCCCTCTCATGCTGTCTCTCACTCTCTCTCTCTCTCAAATAAATAAATAAAATCTTTAAAAAAAAAAAAACATACGTATGTGTGTATGTG